TTACGCGTGACCTATTGAAATAAATAACCCGGATGCTAAAAGTTCCAAAGTTTTTACAAAAAATTCAAAACGAAAAAAATTTCAGGAACGATTTGCAAAGAATAGATCCTTTGCGAATTAATTGTTTACAGAATATGGCTGGTCAGTTGTTGAGAAGAGTCTTCTCTGATCAACAGATTTCGGAATCGAAAGGACGAATGAATGCCAACGAAAGCCAGCTAGAAAACGACACAGAAGTCCTTCTCAGCTACTTAATTTTCCACAGATGCCGCCGATCAAACATCGGCGAGAAACCACATCAACAGAAACGAAACGGAAAATGATTTTTACCATTGTCTGTTGGTTAAAGTTGCAGATAGCTTAGAGATTGCTTTTATTCGGTTGACATTACAATATTTTTTCTCGTCCATTGCTCGGCTTCGCGTTGTTTGCAGATTTTTTTTTGAAAACGCCATAAGCGCTATTCGTCTCTTGTTTTCAATCAGGGCATTACATAGGCTACAATCTTGGAAAAAATATATGGGTAATTTATACCCCCTTCCCCCAAATCAAGGATGGGAAAATGGAGCGTTTTGGCTTTTGTGCAGCTTCATCCTTGATTTGGCGGGGATGGGGGTTCGCTGTTTCATTTTATTCTGTCCAAGATTGTAGCTTCCTCAAGAGAGGCTGTTTCTCCTTGGCTGCCTGCCTGATCGATTTTTGCTTTGTCACAGGGGGGGTGGAACTTGACCCAGCCCTCGTGAGCCCATGTGAATGCCATGCACAAACGATGCGTAATGCGTGACAAGCGACACAAAAAGTTTCAAGATATGTTTCCAATGCTAGCTGCGGCGTACTTTATCTGTCTTGATTGTGTAACCTTACTGAGACAAGAATATTACAGCTGAAAACTAAAAGTTCACAGAATATGGCTGGTCAGTTGTTTTCTCCGCTGATAAACAGATTTCTAAGAAGTGACATGAATTATGACAGCGAACGTCTGCTAGAAAACAACACAGAAATCCCTCTAGGCAACCTTTCCGCAGAGACCGCAGATCTCAGCATCCTGCGTCACAGAGATCAAACATCGACGAGCGATGAATACCTCCAAGATGCCCGAGTATCGAACGAAAAGCCAGTACTGTAGCAGCTATCCTAAGGTCTACTGTGATTGGCTCACAGAGTGTGAAGGGTTGCGAGGGTTTCAAACCAATGATATTGTTCATATGGTGTCACGTTCGTTCCGCCTCGTTCATAATTTTCGCGCGTGTGGAGGGAGTGCTGGTTTCAAGCGTTGCAAGGGTTTCAAGCGTTGCGAGGGTTTCAAGCTTTGCGAGGGTTGCAAGGGTTTCAAGCGTTGCGAGGGTTGCAAGGGTTTCAAGCGTTGCGAGGGTTGCAAGGGTTTCAAGCTTTGCGAGGGTTGCAAGGGTTTCAAGCGTTGCGAGGGTTGCGAGGGTTTCAAGCGTTGCGAGGGTTGCAAGGGTTTCAAGCTTTGCGAGGGTTGCAAGGGTTTCAAGCGTTGCGAGGGTTTCAAGCGTTGCGAGGGTTGCAAGGGTTTCAAGCATTGCGAGGGTTTCAGCTGGTGGATCATCAAACTGCTTGAGAACTCTGAGAGACTCATGCCTCTTATTTCCCTTTTTAATTATGTATAGTCTACATGATGGGTTAGTGATGGGTCCAATTCAGATCACTGCTAACATAAACTCCAAGCAGCTTTATAAACTGTGACCCTTTCGATTCTGTTGCCATCAATGTATTCATGCCGATACCCTAAAAGCAACTTCGGGAGCTCTCATTGAAGTCACGCTGTTGTTCTGATACAATACAACAGACAGAAAACCACTCGAGTGTTGGCATTATTGGCCACTTGTCTGAGTGGCAGTTTCACTGATTATCAAACTGATGCATTAGTTAACAACGATAATTCCGAGTGAAGAGAGTTTATAATCTCGTCACGCGGGAATCTATTATAGAGAGATCTAGAAGTTCAAGTTCATCAAGTTTATTTAAAAACCCTTCTGATACAAACCATAATTAATACTTGCCCGCAAAGTAAGAACAAATTAAGAAATTAAACGACAAGCAGATATAGGGTCTCCTATAAGATCAATCCATTCTGCACTTTACATTACCGACAAATTCATGTAATAAATGGGTGGAGAGGATGGCTGTGATGGGAGTTTGGGCACTTATTCAAATTGCCTAGTGGACACAGATGACGGAAAGCAAAGAACAAAAACCATGACGATTTCCCCTGAACATAAAACAAAGAAGTCTTTTGTTTTACGTCATCTTTGTCCAGTACACGAAGTTTTGACCAGAATTTGGACTCCATAAATATCTGGACAAATTGTGAATTCATTTGGTCAAGGAAAGTGTGCATTTGACTGTCAGTCTGGGAATTTCAACCTCATGCATGTTGAGAATTGAGAAACTGATCACCTTCCACATGACTTGTAACA